ATATATTTGGAGGTGGTCGCTTGTACAGGTGATTGACTTATGCAGGTGGCAGTGTATATTTATAGAAACAAAGAGTAAGCTCGTGCTTCGCTTGTACTGCCACCTGGCTGATCATGCATGTGCTGCTGCTGCTGCTTGCTGTTTGCTGCTGTTTGCTCTAGTCTTAGTGTATGCCGCCTGCTCTTTCAAGTCTTTGCGCTCAATGCCACTGCCACTGTGGCGTGTTATGTCGTGTGAATTGTCACTGTGTCCTTTTATTTGGTGTAAATTGCCACTTTGTCGTCTCATGCGAAGTGTCACTGTGTCATCATATCTTGCGATGTGTCTCTATGGCAAAATGTCACTGTCATGTGATGCGAAATGTCACTGTGTCGTTTCATGCGAAGTGTCACTGTGTCATCATATCTTGCTATGTGTCTCTGTGGCAAAATGTCACTGTCGTGTGATGCGAAATGTCACTGTGTCGTTTCAATGGAAGTGTCACTGTGTCATCATATCTTGCGATGTGCCTCTGTGGCGATATAATGTCACTATAATGCCTTGTCTTGCGATGCGTCTTTGTGTACCATATATTTTGCAATGTGCCTCTGTGGCGATATAATTATAATGTCACTCTGCTGCGTCTTTGCACCATCATAATCCTGCGATGCGTGTTCGTGGCGATGTATTAGATTTTTTGTCTTGCGATGTGCCACTGTGTCATAAGTATAGAATTGCGATGCGTGTCTTGTTGCACTGTGTCACTGTGTCATAAGTATCCTGCGATGCGTGTCTTGTTGCGCTGTGTCACTGTGTCATAAGTATCCTGCGATGCGTGTCTTTGTGACTGTATGTCACTATGTGTCGAGTGTGACGTGTGGTACGTGGCTCGTGATCTCTGAGGCGTCACTTAATTATTGTCTTATAATCTTTACAGGTTGTCGCCGACGTGATTGGGCGCTATATAAGATTATAATGCTGTGGCGAGCTCTGCATTTCTGCGCATGCCAAAGTATTTTTGTTTGTCTGTGTATAATATATGTGTCTGTCTGTGTATTTGTGTGTCTGTTTGTCTGTCTATGCATGTGTGTGTCTGTCTGTCTGTCTGTATATATGTGTGTCTGTGTCTGTTTGTGTATGCGTCTGTGTCTGTCTATGTATGTATGTGTGTGTTTGTTTGTGCATGCGTGTGAGCGTGCGTGCGCGCGCGCGTGGGTAAGTCACGTGAGCTTGCTCTGCCTCGGATGACAAGCGCTCAGGTTCCCTCTCTCTCTCTCTCTGTTTCTCCCTCCCGCTGCGCATGCGCCACCGGCGTGGGGAGCAGTGACGACTTCCGGCGGAGAAGTCTGTCCGACAGCCAGGCCCGGCCGTCTCGCAGAAGGTGAGACCCCCCTGAAACACACTCTACCTGCACGCTACACGCTACACACTACACGCGTTAGGTTGCTGTGTACTACTATGTAGTAGCAGTAACCTACCTCACGGCACATGCGTGGGTGGTTGGAGGGTGCTCTGTCCTCCTGTTTCTGTTAACAAGGGGGTCACGTGTTTTCATGTCTGTTACTATGGGCACGTGCGTTTTTCATTCCAGTTACCATGGGGAAGAGTGTTCTGTCTTTCTGTTACCAAGGGAACGCGTGTTATCTGTCTTCCTGTTACCATGGAAACGCGTATTATATGCATTTCTGTTACCTAGGGGACGTTTTCTGTCTCCCTGTTACCTTGGAGACGAGCATTCTGTCTTCCTGTTACCACGAGGACGCATGATATCCGCCTTTCTGTTACCAAGGGAACGCGTGTTATCTGTCTTTCCGTTATCACGAGGACGCATGCTATCTGTCTTTCTGTTACCATGGAGGCCTGTTATCTGCATTCCTGTTACCATGGGGTCGCCTGAAATCGGTCTTCCTGTTACCGTGGAAACGCGTGTTCTGTTTTCTTGTTACCATGGGATCACATGTTATCTGTCTTCCTTTTGCCTTGGGAACGCGTGTTGTCTTCTACCCAGTTACCATGGGGACGCGTGTTATCTGCCTTCCAGTTACCGTGGGGACGCGTGTTATCTGCCTTCCAGTTACCATGGGGACGCGTATTATCTGCCTTCCAGTTACCATGGGGACGCGTGTTATCTGCGTTCCAGTTACCATGGGGACGCGTGTTATCTGCCTTCCAGTTACCATGGGGACGCGTGTTATCTGCCTTCCAGTTACCATGGGGACGCGTATTATCTGCCTTCCAGTTACCATGGGGACGCGTGTTATCTGTCTTCCAGTTACCATGGGGACGCGTGTTATCTGCCTTCCAGTTGCCATGGGGACGCGTGTTATCTGTCTTTTTCGTGGGTGGTTGACGGGTGCTCTGGTGTGGTTTGCTTCTTCTTTCCTATCAAACATCTATCGTTCTTATCTCCCCTTCTTCTTTTTTTTTTGTCTGTTACTCTCTTGTAACACCTCTAATCTTCTGGCGCTCATATGACCTTCTGCAGTTGCGAGCGCCGTAAAACCTCTACTAAAACAAAAAAGCCAGGCAGGGTATAGGCCACATATTACAAGCTCCTTCCATTTATCTCTGTCCTTGGCCATTCTTCCTAGCTCGTTCCAAATGAGATTCATCTCTCTTATACATGCCCCTTTCCACACATCTCCTCCGTGTTTCCCGTGGCCTACCCCTTCCTCGTGCTCCTTGTGGGTTCCACTGCAGTGACTGTCTTGTGATGTTTCCGCTGGGCTTTCTGAGGGTGTGTCCCATCCATCGCCACTTTCTTAGTCCTATGTCTACTTCTATATATATACATTATATCCTTTTGTCCTGTCCTTTCCCACAGCTCTTTATTTCTTATTCTATCCTGCCGCTTAATTCTTAGGGTACTCCTCACACATCTGTTAATGAAAGTCTGGACTTCATTCAGTACTGTGCTGGTTTCAATTGGGGACATAACACGTTTACTCCAAAGAAGCGTTGCTCTATGTCATGAAATGTAATGAACTCCCATTAAACTTTTATCGTCCCGATCTCTCCTCCTTCTTTTTTGTGTTTGTTAACTCTCTTGTAACACCTCTAATCTTCGGCACTTACATGACCTTATTGTGTTGCAAGTGCCGTATATATAAATAACTCTTGCTTAAACTAAAGTGACCCGCTGTATGTCATGACTGCTGTATGTCATGACCTGCTGTATGTCATGACCTGCTGTATGTATGTCAACACTGTCGTGTTTCGTGAAACGGGCCGGCGTCCATGGTGTAGTGGCTCGGTACTTCGCCGTCAACGCAGAAGACCCGAGTTCGATTCCCGTGTGGAGATTTTTATTAATTGAGTATCTGCGTCTTTTTGCTGGGACGAAGTATCACCACTGGGAGGGTCAAAGCCTGCCTTCTAAATGATCTAATTTGTGGACTTAAAAAACTTTCGATTTAAAAAGTACTTGTGAGTTTATTATATATCATATTGTTTTTAAGCCCAACAAATAGTTAAAAAGACCTGTTAACTTCCCAGATTAAGACTGTTCGGGACTCGATCAGTGTTTGTGAAACATGAGGTACTCGAGTTGTGCAGGGTAACGCACACACACATACATGCACACACACACACACACACACACACACACACACACACACACACACACACACACACACTTAATCACTCACACTCTCACACCCACAAACACACACACTCACTCCCACACTCCTTCACTCACACACACTCACTCCCACACACCCTCACACTCACTCACTCACACACACTCACATTCACTCTCTCACTCACTCCCACACACCCTCACACTCACTCACTCACACACACTCACATTCACTCTCTCACTCACCCACTCACTCGACGGCGAGCACGTGCGCTGGTCGCGTGGGATGTATGTCGAGGTAGAGCGCCTGTCGAGCGGGAGTCAGGGAGTTGGACAACGGAAGCGATCAGGTCGTAAATCGATATAATATATATAGGCCATCGAGGACGATGTAGCTGGCCATAGATTGCTCGAGTGCGCTCACACGCACCAAAAAACAACAACAAAC